GATGGAACGATGACGTGATGATGAGATATATGACGACATTGACATAGTTCAACGAATTAAAAGACACCGGCTATGCTAGCGAGGTCATGTTGTCCGAATCGACGAAAACACACCAGCTCTGAAAATATTCGATGCACTCCCCGCCGGGTGAAGCAAAGGAAGAGGAAGACCTCCACTTCGTTGGAAGGAGCAGGTGGAGAAGGACCTGGCTTCGTTTGTAATATCCAATTGATGTCACCTAGCGAAAATAAATTTTATCCTGTCGAGATTACAGGCAATAGGCACGGCAATACAGATAGTGTGCAATAAATGTTTGCCTGTCGAGATGGCCCAATATAAGAGTGCATTGTAAATGAACAATCACCACCGCTTCTACCGTCGGTATACGTAGATATTTGCTAAAATTGGATTCTTTTTCCGTCGAAACGAGTCAGCTGACTGCTCTCTTACAACACAGGGTCGCCAATAGTAATATAATATATTTTATAGTAATTAAAAAATTAACATGAATTTATTTCAAATATTCTAAACTAACAAACTTAAGGTCGGATAAGAATAATTATACTTTTGCAACCAGTTGCTAGTTTGTTCACCTAACGGTTGTATGTATCACCTAAAACTAATCGAGATAAAAATATGGTTATATATACATATGTATATATAAATGATCAGGGTGACGAGAAAAGTTGAAATCCGGTTGACTGTCTGTCCATCCGTCCGTCCGTCCGAGCAAGCTGTAGCTTGAGTAAAAATTAAGAAATCTTGATGAAAATCGTTATGTAGGTTTCTTAGTACAAAAAAGTTCGAATTTGTAGATGGGCATAATCGGAAGACTACCACGCCCACAATTCGGCATTAATCGAAACTCTATAAAGTGCCAGGACCTAATTAAGATATAAAACTTCTTCTTCTTCTTAATTGTTGTAGACACCGCTTACGCAATTATAGCCGAGTTAACAACAGCGCGCCAGTCGTTTTTTCTTCGTTACGTGGCGCCAATTGGATATTCCAAGCGTAGCCAGGTCCTTCTCCACCTGGTGCTTCCAACGGAATGGAGGTCTTCCACTGCTTCCCCCGGCGGGTACAGCGTCGAATACTTTCAGAGCTGGAGTGTTTTCGTCCATTCGGACAATATGACCTAGCCACAGTAGCCGCTGTCTTTTAATTCGTTGAACTATGTCAATGTCGTCATATATCTCATACAGATAATCGTTCCATCGAATGCGATATTCGCCGTGGCCAAAGGGCAAAGGACCATAAATCTTTCGCAGAACTTTTCTATCGAAAACTGGTAACGTCGAGTCATCTGTTGTTATCATCGTCCAAACCTCTGCACCTTATAGCAGGACGGGAATTGCCTATTCAGTTATCCTGCGTTGAATTTCCAGGCTGACATTGTTGGTAGTGTTTACGCTGGTTCCAAGATAAACGAAATTATCCACGACTTCTTTAGTTATGACTGTCAACAGTGACGTGAGAGCCAAGCCGCGAGTGCGACGACTGTTTGTTTGATGACAGAAGGTATTTCGTCTTGCCCTCGTTCACAGCCAGACCCATGTGCTTTGCTTGCTTGTCCAGTCTTGAGAAAGCAGAACTAACGGCGCGGGTGTTGAGGCCGATGATATCAATAACATCGGCACACGCCAGCAGCTATACACTCTTTTAAAAGATTGTATCTCCAGCAGCAGATTGAAGAAGTCGCACGATAGGGAATCGCCTTATCTGAAACCTCGTTTGGTATCGAACGGCTCGGAGAGGTTCTCCCCGATCCTGACGGAGCTTTTGGTGTTGTTCAACGTCAGTTTACACAGCCGTATTAGTTTTGCGGGGATACCAAATTCAGACATCGCAGCATAAAAGCAGCTCTTTTTCGTGCTATCGAAAGCAGCTTTGAAATCGACGAAGAGATTGTGTAAGTCGATTCTCCTTTCACGGGTCTTTTCCAAGATTTGGTGCATCGGTTGTTGATTTGCCAGGTCTAAATTCACACTGATAAGGTCCAATCAGTTCGTTGACGGTGGGCTTTAATCTTTTACACAATACGCTCCATAGAATCTTATACGCTATGTTGAGAAGGCTTATCCCACGGTAGTTGCCGCAAATTATGAGGTCTCCCTTTTTGTGAATTGGACAGAGCACACTTAAATTCCAATCGTTGGGCATGCTTTCATCCGACTATATTTTACAAAGAAGCTGATGCATGCTCCTTATCAGTTCTTCGCCGCCGTGTTTGAAGAGCTTGGTGGTCAATCCATCGGACCCCGCTGCTTTGTTGTTCTTCAGACGAGTAATTGCTATTCGAACTTCTTCATGGTCCGGCAATGGAACGTTATCGATTGGGGAATCGGTTTCGCCTTCTCCTGGCGTTGTATGTTTACTGCCATTCAGCAGGCTGGAGAAGTGTTCCTCCTTTAAGTATGCTCTGGGCATCGGTGACTAGATCACCTTTAGGGGTCCTACAAGAGTATGCTCCGGTCTTGAAACCTTCTGTTAGCCGCCCCATTTTTTCGTAGAATTTTCGAGCGTTACCCCTGTCAGCCAGCTTATCAAGCTCTTCATACTCACGCATTTCGGCCTCTTTCTATTGCTGTCTGAAAATGCGTCTCGCTTCCCTCTTCAACTCTCGATATCTCGATTGTAACATTGCGAGGTAGGCAGTTTGTTTTCTCTCCGCTGCGACACGGCACTCCTCGTCGTACCAGCTGTTCTTTTGCGTTTTCCGAAAACCAATGGTTTCAATTGCAGCTATACGTAAATAGTTTAAAATGCCGTCCGACAGTTCAAAAACGGGGTCTTTCAGCCGAGGCTGTTTTGTCTTCTTCATTTTTATGTGGCGGGTCCCACACCCAGCGCAAAACCCTGTGCAGGGGATATTTTACCTTCTCACTTTAGCTCGTCGTCAAACGGATGTTCTTAAGCTACCCAGAGCTGCTTGAGCCATATATGTATAAAAGAATCGTTTCTGGCCATTCCCAAGTGAATGGCGATCAGAGAACTTTCCTCACTTTCTACACTCCATCCTATGAAATAAATATCATTGTCAATATTAAATTTATGATTTTAATTAGTATATAATATTTATGCCACAATTATTATATAGTAGTCCAAAAATATAAACTCTTATATTTCCCAGAAATACATTTCTAAAATAAATCGTTCTCCTTTTTTATTTTCCACATAAAATATTTAAATTCATATCAACTGCTTCAGTGTACGGTTTTGCGTGAGAGACTAAATGAACTATAAGTACATATAATATAAGAAGGGAATGTTTAAGTAAAGATGGGTACATACGCAAGAATGATTGCAATTGATAACAATATGATTGTACATAATATGATTATTCTACTTGCATTATTATTCAAGATCTTGTGTTTTGCTTGATAACCCTACAAAATTTATACTAAATATGAGCCACTTGTCGAAACGTAAGTAAAATATAAATATATTAATTTGACGTTTAACATGCACTGGAGAACGTTAAATACTATAGACGTTCTCTGCATACACAACATTTGTATATACTCTTAGAGATTATGCGATTGGTTCTACTTCAATTGAAAGTTGGTGAAGATAAATCGTCGAACATACATAATGCTATTGACAAAATTGCTCAAGCTGTACATGAATATAAACCTCGCATGGTAACTTTGCCTGAATGTTTTAATTGTCCTTATGGTACCAAATACTTCAGGAAATACTCTGAAACAATACCAGATGGTTACACTTCACAGCAGCTTTCTGCCTCTGCAAAGACTCATGGTATTTATATTATTGGAGGTACCATACCTGAGCTAGGTGAAAATGATCGCATTTACAATACTTGTACTATTTGGGATCCTACTGGAAAATTGATTGCGAAATATCGTAAAATGCATCTTTTTGATATTGATATTGAAGGAGGAATTCGCTTCAAAGAGTCGGAAACCTTAACTGCGGGTACCGATTTTACTGTGGTAGATGTAGACGGTCATAAAATTGGTGTTGGTATCTGCTATGATATTCGTTTTGAAGAATTGGCCCGAGTATATCGGAACGAAGGTAGTTCTCCAACACTATGTATATACATATATATATGTATATATGTGTACATATTATCTAAATAATTTTATATACTCTAATTAAAGGTTGTGAGATGATAATCTACCCCGGTGCATTTAATATGACTACAGGTCCCTTACATTGGGAGCTTTTGCAACGTTCGCGAGCCAACGACAATCAATTGTATGTTGTAACGACATCGCCTGCTCGTGATGAAAATGCTGAATATGTGGCTTGGGGTCACTCAACTGTAGTTAATCCGTGGGGGCAAATTTTAAAAAAAGCTACTTATAGCGAAGATTTAATTTCAGTTGATATTGGTAAGAAAATATATAGAATACGTGTATGTATATGTATCAGAATTACAGTGAGAAGTTTCCAGATTTTTCAATCGTAGACCAAGTTCGTGCACAAATTCCAACATTCAAACAGCGCCGCTTGGACATGTATGTAACAACACGTTTAAAATAAAATGTTGTATGGAGGTGGTTTTGCTCTTGTTTGATATGTCTTAATTCTGAATAATAATAAATTTTCCCAATTGTGAAATTACATTGGTAATGAGATAAATTTATACTAAAGCTGGCCGAGCTGTATAAACGCAAATCTTCTACATATACATATGTATATCAATAGGTAAGAAACCTGCATACCAAGTTTCATCAAGATATCTCAATTTTTTTCAAGCTTTCATGGACAGACGGACAGACAGGCACTCACCGTATTTCAACTCTTATCGTCATCCTGATCCTTTATACTTATATACGTATATAATTCTGTACATATACACCCAACTCTTTTTTTTAGACGGATTTGAAGTTAAAGGGTTGAAAAAAAAATTTGGTAAAGAAATTTTAATCTGATACATTTTCAAATTCACTGTCTTGTAATTTACCCCTTATTCGATAACTCTTACCTACCCATTTTGTTCGCATGTATGTATATAAAATATTGTTTAATTAAAGTGTTAAAAGTTTATTACCTCGTAATATTTTATCAAATGTTCGTGCTATCAATTAGGATTAGGATAGGGCAAGGATTTTGGAAAAATGGGAATGAAATACCGAAATCTGTCGAAAGTTACCATCGGATAATTTGGATATCTCCAGTGATGATACCGACTTGTTCAGTTCGTAGCAAACAATTGCGCTTATTATCAAGTAGCGACGAATAATTATGTAGTTATGTCAATATTTTTTCTTTATTTCCATTAAAATATTTCTGTTCTTAATTCTGGATTAACAGATTTCTTTAGTTTTTCGCTTGTTCTGCTGTACTCTGTAGCAACATATTACTAGAGTATAAAATATATACATATGTATATCCATACGAATATTACAAATGAGAATGTAAGCACATACATGTTTTTGTTACTTCACACCGAAATCACGTAACCGATCATCATGGAACTTAATTCCAAATTTAGTACAAATGAAATTAAATGCAGAATGAACTAATTTATTAAAAATACTATATTCAAGCATTAAATATCGCATGTCAATGAAATTTGAAGATAGGTTAAAAACATTTTCATCGCGATGTTAAACTTGAATTTAAGTATGTTATTTAAGTATGTGCCATACAAAATCTATGAGATTGAGGAATATTCCGGTACGTAGAACCGGCTGTCGTGGGAACTGTTTATTAATTATTAATAAACAATTAACTAGGTGTATTTATTCCACTATATGGTCGCTGGACTTGTCCAAAAAGAGCTTTTATCGCTTCATCCGTAGCCATTAAAGGCTGACTAATGAATTGTAAAGACTTTACTGCATATTTTTCAGCATCACAAAGAGGATTTTTACTAGTGCTCAAAATATCTATGTCACCTTCGGGAATTCCAACGCCAGAGTGCAGTACCATTTGATGTACGATATTTAAATTTTCGGCACTAAGGTTAATTACATCAGTACTTGGAAGGTTTAGATAACGTATCTTTGCAACAAATTTTAAATTTTTTAAGATTTCTAACTGCATTTCTCGGATTTGATGTGTTGCGTGGAGTAATCGCTTAGTGGATTCTTCAAGTATTTGGTTCTTCTGTATTAGATCAGCTTTCCATCGCGCTAGTTCTTCTACCATAACGCTACTAGCAAGAAATTTGGAACGCCACACTTCACACTGGCTCGCAAGAAACTCAATTTGCTCCTAGATTAAATGTTCACTTTTTTAGATTTATTTTGAATACGAAGCTAGTATATTTAAAATAAACGTACCGTATGTGTTGTTAAATTTTTCGCGGTATCTAACAACGCGCGTGCCAACTGAAGTTTGTCTTCTGTGAGCACATTAACATGTGACTGCATATCTTCGCCTACAGATGCTACTAACAAATTTTTTAATTCAGAATTAACTTGGGTTTGAAATCTAAATTGTCCTTGGTAATAATCTCGTTCCTCCGTAATTTTTCTGAGTTCTTCTCTTAGTTTCTCAAATTTAACATCCAAAGAACTATTACCACAATATTCCTCGCTGTTCTTATCGCCTAATTCTTTGGAACGCATTGTTGACATTTGACTTACAAGTACTCCAATATCTAAATTGTTTTTATTTTTCATCGCTGTTTTTGGGCGTGGAGTAGATACGATGGAACTTGTTGCGCCTGTATATGGCTCATATGGTATAAATTTTGGAGGTTTATTTTTCGTATGTGTACCCTTGGTTTTGGCTGATTTGACTAAATGAGGAATCATTTGAATCAATTTACCTCCTGGTAACACTGGTGCAAGACTACATGGTCCTTCGTATCGGCGATAAAGTGTTTGCAGACCAGAATGTAGGAGTTGGTCGTTTAGGCATGTTGAACTGTTATTTGTGGATTTATGAACATTTTCTTGTATGGTAGCACTAGTTGGTCGACGAACGGCATAACGGAATTTGACATTTGCTTCCTTACACGTATTAGTTTGTTCTTCCATTCCGTCGCCACTGGTTCTGAGTCGCTCCAAAACGCCATTTGAAATTTCCATTTCGCTTTCTAAAAGTTCAAAAAATTTTAACGATATTAAAGATTTAGTAGAGGATCTGTTTGTATATGCAATATAGATAAATTACTAATTTGGACAATATATGAGATAAATTAATTGCAAATCGTCGAAATCTCACTCAATGATGTCAAATTGTAGAAAAGAATGTCAAGTATAGGAAGTTCGATTATAGATAGTGTTGCAAAGTTTAGAATTTGAAAAAATTAAAGCAAAGAATACTAAATTATTAATTTTAAAATTTAATGTTTTCTATTTAAATAATACTTTGTTTATTATCTATTTAATAATATATCTTGGAATTTACGTTATTTAATTTCAAATGTAAAGAATATATTTATATTAGAGTATATATTATATTATATTTATATTAGAAAAAGAATCGCATAAATGCTATTAGTTTCTGATTACTATTATACGCTGTGGCCAGACATGCAAGAAATTTGGTGCGATTAAGAATTACCAAAAATATACGAAGTATATTGTGTATAGCGATTTCAATAAAAAAATTACTTGCTTGCTATATACATTTAAAAACCGTTGTGGCTAGATATGTTTTGCTTGTGAATACCGAATTGCGTAGCCATCACAACTAATCCATTAAACACAATGAAGGAGGCAGACGACAGCATCTGCCACATATTAAAACAGACTGGGGTACAATTACGTAGACAACAGACCGACTTCACAGCAGCAGCCTTGCAGTTACCAATATCGCCATATTAAATATGTTTCTAATATTGCCAAAGGCTAGAAATAAAAATAATAAATTACAATGTATTACCTGATCAAAGTATTCTTTATATAAGAAATCCATGTCGACTATTTGCATAAGCAGAAAAAATTACCAGATTGAAAATCAATAAATGTACGAGTATAATAGCAAGATCGCTGGGAATTCTTTGGTGAATTTCGCATCCACTACAATACCTACAATTGATTAGCGCTGATCGAAATCATGTGCTCATAAACAGCGACAGACTTCAAGCGACATCTGACAAATATTACAATACATAAGTTCTTAAGGACACAGTTATGTCGTCGTGTAGCTGTCTGAATAACTGTATCCTTAAGAACGTGTGTATTTTAATATTTGACAAATTTCGCTTGAATTCTGTCGATCTCAATTTGTTCAGCAGTCAGCGTCTTCTATGCAGGCACCTTTACGTGGCATCTCGACAAAATAAAATCTATGTCTTACTAACTGGCTATTGCTATAATTTTTCTGTAAATTAATTATTAAACTAAATATTAATTTTTTGGAATAATGTTATTTTGAAAATGTACTTTATTTTTATAACATAACACAACCATCTTAATACTCGCTCTTCTAAATTGCATAATACCGAAATGAAAATGCCGTCGGCATATGTGCAAATGGGATATGTTGCCTTTTCGAAATTTTCATAGAAATGAAAATGCGCCGTCAAACTGCTGAAGTGATAGCTTATTGCTTACAATATATATCAAACTAATTAGTATTCAATATATTGTAAGCAATAAGCAATGTGGAGTGTCCACAGGCAATAGGCACGGCAATACAGTTAGTAAGAGATAGATTTTATCCTGTTGAGATGCCCCGTTACGTTTAGCTTTCAATAATTGGCAATATATATATCCATCTTGCGCGATTATGGTAATGCTCTTGGTGAAAACACCGGATAACTAACTATACAATTATTAAAAATTACCTAAAACATTGTCCATTATATTACTAAATTTTGTTCCCAAGCTAATAAATTATGTTAATTTCACAAATTTAAAAAAGGTTTGTATATTAGTTCACAATCTACTTGCTGTTGGAGAGTTTTTCTATGGTTTTGTTTCACATTCTATAAGTATTACGACACACGAAGTTTTATAGTGTAATTTGTTTTTGTAGCAATTATCACACCCTAAGCCGAAAAAAGTAATGGTAAAAGGGCAAATACCTGTTCGGCTACAAAAATCTTCCGCTGTGAACATAGTCTAAAATCCAAAATATTGAAATGACATTTCTTCCTAAAATAATAAATATATACTATAGAATGCACACAGTTAAACAATTTGATCATGAGTTTTGTTGACATTAGCTCACATTTTCGTCCTTAAGGTAGTTATTTGCAGATGATGGCTATCGTTACAAAAAATATATAATTGTCAATTGTTTTGGGGATATTGGTTATACTAGAAAATAATATTATGTCGTCTAAAAAAATCGATATAATCGGTAAAATCGAGTTAATTGAACCTACAACCGGAAAACTATTTTTCGAGCACAAAACTGAATTAATTTTCTGCCAACCACATTTAATAGCTTTAAAATCGCTATCATTAGACCGTTTGGAGGAAATGCAACGTAAAATATCGCGACAATTACAAGAGAAACTCATTGATGATCCTAGTGTAAATAACATTCACAAACGTGTCTAAAATAGAAAAGCTGTCCTTCGTTAAATTGTTATAACAAACCTATAAGATAAGACCCTAAAATGGCACACTTACTTTTATTAGCGGTCGTAGCAGCTTTACTACTTGCTGGATTTTTGCTCTTTCGGTATGGAAACATTCCTCGTCAACACATTATTGTAACATTGTCGGTGTTGATGGCGTGGTGCTTTTCGTTTCTTATTGTCTTCACTATACCACTTGATGTCACAAATGTAAGTACATATTGAATTTAACTTACATATATACATATGTATTTACGTTTTGCCTTTGAATTCAAGACTTTATACCGACAATGTCTCCAAGAAAATAATGATATGGGAACATCGATGGCATCTGAAGATTTCAATAACTCAAAAATTGAAATCACATCAGAAACAAATTCACATTGTCAGGCTCCATGGGGCATGATTCCTGATGATGTTTTTCCAAATTTGTGGAGAATAATATATTGGTCGTCACAGTTTCTTACTTGGTTAATTATGCCGCTTATGCAGTCATATTTGAAAGCGGGCGATTTTACCATTAAAGGAAAATTAAAATCTGCTCTTGTTGAGAACGCTATTTATTACAGTTCATATCTGTTCATATGTGGCGTTCTGTTGATTTATATAGCTGCTAAGGGTGTCTCTTTGGATTGGCAAAAACTAAAAGCCATCGCATCTTCAGCATCTAACACTTGGGGCTTGTTCCTACTAGTGCTGCTACTTGGTAAGTAATGAACACTATAGCATGAGATTTATATGAAATATTTATTTAAAACACTATAGCATGAGATTTATAGGCTACGCGCTCGTCGAAGTCCCTCGCTCTCTATGGAATAATGCAACGCCTGGTTTTACATTACAATACGCTTATTTTAAATTAGCGAAATTAAGCTCGAGCAAAGCAGAGGCGGAGGAGAATGTAGATGATGTATTGGAGTCTCTACAAGGTATAAATCGTGCTATCCCTAATGGTTATGAGCTACGTTCACGTGTAGAAACAATACTCCGCAAAGTACCAACTGAACTTATTGAGCGTGCGACCCGCAACTATAATCGTGGGGTTAGTATCGGAGACACTCCTACAATTGTACCAACAGAAAAGACATTAATACGGATTCATAAGCAAGTTATTAAGTCGTTGCAGACATTACAACGTAGTGAATCCCTTTGGAGTGTGCAGGTAGAGAAAGTATTGTACTTGGAAGATATATCACGAAATATGCATTCGACAGATAGAATATTCAAATCAGAGTTTCCTTCTCAGCGTTCTCAATTATGTAGAATCCTTTATAGCCCCTCATTACATTGGTATTGGGAGTGCTTTTGTAAAAAACACTTTTTGAAAGCTCTTTCCATAGTGGCCACAATCATGTCCTTAATGGTCGTGTGGAGTGAACTGACATTTTTCAATCGACAACCAGTACTTTCTATATTTGCTCAGGTTATAAATATTGCAAAGTATAATTATAAATTCTTTACTATCGAATTATTTTCAATGATTGTGTTATGCTATCTATTCTATTGTACTTATTCTACGATTTTGCGCATACGTTTTTTAAATCTTTATTACTTGGCACCACATCATCAAACAAATGAGCATAGTTTAATTTTTAGTGGCATGCTCTTATGTCGATTAACACCACCAATGTGTCTCAATTTTCTCGGTCTAATTCACATGGATTCACATATAATTGAAAAGGTAAACTATTTTCTTATAATTTAATTGAAGGAACTAAATAGCTGATTGCTTTGCAGAGAATACTCGAAACATACTATACCCAAATAATGGGACACATGGACGTTTTAAGCATAATTTCCGACGGTTTTAACATTTACTTTCCTATGTGTATGTTGGCATTTTGCCTGGCTACTTGGTTTAGTTTGGGTAGTCGCATTTTGAATACTATGGGGTTTCAACAATTCCTTCAAAATGAAATCATTGCCACAGAGTTGGTTCAAGAAGGCAAAGTTTTGATTGCGAGGGAAAGACGTCGTCGTCTACGTGCAGAGGATACGATGTCACGACGTAGAGACCCAACATCTGTTACGAATGAATATATAGCTAAATATCGTAATTTAGCTGGAACCACCGCGCAAGTTGGTTCAATTGGACCGTTACGCACACCAACGGATGGACTTTTGTGTGATGGAGAGCGAATAGGATATGAAACTGTTGCACCATCCTCAAACGCTCGTATCTCACCAATTGGGGTGCCGCGCAGTCTATCAGAAGAAATAAATGAACGCTTCGGTGTTAGTACTCACCTGGAAATTGGTTTTAAGGGCTCCTCAAGGCCCTTAAATAACATCGAAAAGAATTCAGATAGTTTGAAAGACGTTACGGATGAACGTATAAGATCCCCGCTTCGGGGTCTTTTCGATGATGTTTGATAAATAGTAGAAAAATACTATAAATAAAACTAATAAAGCTAGTTTTAAATAGGTGGTTTATTATATTCTATGGAGAATTGAATGGCAATGCTGCTACTAATTAAAATGCTTTAATCATTACTATGCTCAAAAATAAGCAGAAGTTATTCTTTCAATCCAATATAAATGACACTCGGTTTAAATATTTGCAGTTTTATTTATGTGTAATTAGGTTAGGTTAGATGGCTGATCGAAGATCGCACGTGGACTGGTATATGTATTCCTTTGTCAAGCCATAGAAAAGAATAACTCTTGTGTTCGAACTTACATATTAGCATAATGCTTAGTAACCAATACAAATTTGCATAGGCGTTTAATTTCAACTCGCGCTAGTTCGGTGGAATATCTGAAAGTATGCGCTCCCAAGTGCTTAAGTCTTGACCTCCCAAACGAAGGACTGTCAAGAAGGTAGTGTTGTATTGTTTACACCTACTATTTTTCCATACAGCTTTTGCAATAATTAAATTTACTGAGATTCTGCTATGACTCCGAACCTATAACAGTATTATCACAAATTGTGTCTATTGATATCGAGGTTAGGCACTCCTGGAGTAGCAAATCTACTGCTACCGTAATGCCTGCAAGAGAGCTCCTCACAGTAAACCCCTTCACCAGTCTTACCCCCCCAGCTTTGACATATCCGCAAAGAAGTTCACTGCCCCTGTCCTTCAACGGCTACTTCCTACTCATATTTCCCTCGTCAGTAATAAGTGATCGAGCCAGATGATCACCTTTGCCAATGGCTCCTCTACAGCAGTATACGGCAATCGATGCATTTTTTGCTCTTTCTTTGATATTTGGTTTTCATGAAAGATTCCTATTGAGGAGGAGACTTAAGTATTTCACTCTATCCGCCGTTTGCAGACGGATATCTATATTTACGGCAGCGGTGCTTCCGAGA